CGTGACTGAGCCAGCAGGACATGTGGACGACACTGGTCCTCTCCACACGCCGCGTTTGCGTGAACAGTGTGCCCGGAGGGAGGTGTTTGGTTACATGTACCCTGAGAATCTCTGCAGGTGGTCAGTTCTGGTCTGCAGGTCACAGAGGAGAAAGTAACTCATGTGGATGTCATCTTGAAAAACGACGTGCGAGGGACGGCCTCCGTCATCCATGGTCTTTCCCTTTGCAGTCTGGGTCCAGTAGAGATGCTGGTGAGCTGGCCTAGCGGGGCAGGGCCCCGTGGACACCGGCCTTGCCCAGAGCACGCGTTCTCAGTGTTGTTTGAATAAGTCATGCCATCTCCTGTCTTTCGCAATGAAGTCTGATCTGTGGCAATTCTATCCCCGTCCTCAGGGGCGATGTCGTTCTTCTGGGAGTTTCCCTCACAGCTCTGAGAACACAAGGGAAGAGAGAAACATACACCCCTCCATTAAGCACCGCCCCGGAAGGAGTCCCTGCACAAAGAAAACGGGACACATCCTGATTGCCAACAACAGAAACCTCGTGACAGTCCAAATGCCCACATAAGTAATGCTTTACTCAGCAAATGTTTACTGGGAAAACCCTATGGTTTGCTTTCTAAAAAGAAATACTTTTAAGTTTTACTTTAAAACTTCTCAGTAAACTTATTAGATCTATGGATTTTTTTTTTATTGTTTGTACACAGTTCTATGAATTTTTTTTTTTAAGAGAGAGAGAGAAACATCGATGTGAGAGAGAAACATCAATTGGCTGCCCCCTGCACACCCCCTACTGGGGATCAAGCCTGAAACCCAGGCATGTGCCCTGACCGGGAATCGAACCGAGACCTCTCAGTCCATGGGACAACATTCAATGCACTGAGCCACACCGGCCAGGCTACAGTTCTTTGACTTTTAACACTGGTATAGATTTGTGTAGTCATCACCATACTCAGAATACAGAACAATCCCATCACCCCAAATAACTGCCTCCTCCACCCCAGCCACTCATCTGTTCTCCATCCCCATAGCTTTGTCTCTTCAAGAACGTCATACAAAGGTCATTCGTATGTCATTTAGTAGGTGAGCTTTTGAAACTAACTTTTTTCACCCGACATAATGCCTTTGAGGTGTATGCAACTTCTCATAAATGTCCTGGTTTTGCTCCTTTTAGTTGCCAAGCAGCATTTCATTGTATGGACGGACCACAGCTTACCCATTTACTGATTGAAGAACATTTGGGTTGCTTCCAATTTGGGGCAATTAGGAATAGAGCTGTTATAAATGTTTGTTTTTGTTAGAACATAACGTTCATTTCTCTAGAGCAGATACTCAGGAGTATGATGGGCTGAGACACACACTGGACATTTATTTCACTTCATAAGTAACTGTCAAGCTCTTTCCCAACGTGTCTGTACCATTTTGCATTTTCATCAGCAATGTCTACGTGCTCCTTGCAGCCACCCCGTGTCCTTGTCAGCATTGGTATTGCCAGTACTTTCCGTTTTAGCTCTTTTAATGCGTTTGTACTTTTATCTCATCATGGTTTTTAATTTGCCTTTTCCAAACGGCTGATGATATTGAACATCTACGCCTATGCTTATTTGACATCCTGTATCCTCTTTGAAGAAGTGTCTATTTTCATATCTTTGGCTGATTTTCTCATTGGTTTGGTATTTTTCTTAGTGTTGAGTTTTGAGAATACCAGTTGGATATGGGATTTGCAAATACAATTTTCCAGTTTGCAGCTCAACTTTTTAATCCTTCCATAGTGCAAAAGTTTTTAATTTTGATGAAGTTAAGTTTATAAGTCTTTTTGTTTTTGTTTTTTACTTGAGTAGGCTTTTTGTGTCATGTCTAAGAACTCATCACCCAACCCAAGGTCATGAGGTTTTCTTCGAAAAGTTTTATATTTCACATTTAGATCTATGATCCATTTTGAGTTTACTTTTGTATAAGGTATGATGATATTCAGGTCCAAGTTTAATTTTTTGCCTATAGATTTCTGATTTTTTTCAACCATTGTTGAAAATACTACTCTTTCCCCATTGAGTTGCTTTTGCACCTTTGTCAAAACCCAATTGGCCACATTTGTGTGGCTCTATTGTAGATTCTCTCTTCTGTTCCATTGATCTAATAGTATTGCTAATACCATTCAGTCTTGATTACTGTAACTTTATAGTGAGTCTTAAAATTGGGTAGTTTGAGTCTTCCAATTCTATTCTTTTTCAGAGTTGCTTTAGCTATTCTGCGTTCTAGTTCCTTTGACTCTCCATGTGCATTTTAGCATCAGCTTGTCTATATCTACAGGAAGTCTTGCGGAGATTTTAGTTGGTATTGTGTGGACTCTGTAGGTCAATCTGGGGATAATTACCTTTCTGTGTTAAATTTTTCTACCAGGGAACACAGTATGTCTCTCCAATTATGTAGATATTTGATTTCTTTCAACAGAATTGTGTCGTTTTTACATACCGATCCTATACGTGCTTTGTTATATTTATACCTAAGTGTTTTATTTTTTGAAGCTGTTATAAATATTACTGATTTTAAATTTCAGGTTTTAGTCGGAAAGCTGTGTCCACTTCCCATAGCTACTGTAATAACATATTACCACAAACTTGGAGTCTTAGAACAATAGCAATGTATTCTCTTACAGTTCTGTAGGCCAGAAGTCCATGATCCATTGTGAGACGAAATCAAGGTGCGGCAGGGTTGTCTGTTCCCTCCAGAGCTCTAGGGAACGGTTTGCTCTCTGCCTCTTCCACCTTCTGGGGACGGCCTGGGCCTGCAGCTGCATCGCTGTAGTCTCTCCAGCTGTCCTCGTGTTTCTTCTCCTCTGTGTCACTTCCTCTGCCCTCTGACAAAGACCCTGGGACAGCACTCAGGGCCCATCTGGACGATCCAGGTGACCTTCTCCTCCCAAGAGCCTTCACTAAGCCACATCTGCAAAGACTTTACCGTATAAAGTATTCACAAGTTCCAGAAATTAGGACCTAATATATTTGAGGACTTTTTCAGCATACTACAGTTGTTTTAGAAATCGTGTGTGTGTGCACGTGTGTGTGTGTGTGTGTGTGATTTTGTGTTGACCTTGTATCTTGCAGCCTTAGTGCTAAATTTACATATATTACTTCTAGGAGTTTCTGAAAGATTCTTTGGGATTACGTAGATCGTCATGTCATCTGCAAATAGGGTCACTTTGTTTCCATTCTGTATGACTTTTATTTATTTTTTCACCTCTTCTTACTTTCACCTCTTTTCACCTCTTAAGACTTAAAATACAGTGTGAATGGCAGTGATGGAAGTGGACACCCTTCCTGTGCCTGGCCTTAGGGGGGTTCCGTCATTCGCCGTCAAGCATGGCGTCAGCTTCCATGCCTTGCTGGGGTTTTTGTTTGGATCATGAATGAATGTTGAATTTTGTCGTATGATTTTCTGCATCAATTGATATAATTATCTATTTTTTTCTTCTTTAGATTATAAATAAAATAGATTGCATTTATTGATTTCCAAATATTGAACCAGCCTTGCATTACTGGGACAGATCCTACTTCGTTGTGGTGTATTATTATTTTTATACATTCCTGATTTTGATTTGAATACTCTGTTGAGGACTTTTAGGCTTATGTTTGTTTATTAGAGATATTGGTCTGTAGTCATCTTTTCTTCCACAGTCTTTGTTTGGTTTTGGTAATAGGATAATTTTGGCCTCATAAAAAGTTGATAAGTTTGCCCTCTTCTGTTTTATGGAAGACACTGTGGAGATTTGGTATTATTTCTTCTTTTTTTTTTTATTTTTTTTTATTTTTATTTTTTATCCTCACCCGAGGATATTTTTCCATTTTTTGTACAGATAGAGTGGGAGGGAGAGAGAGGAAGGGAGGGAGAGAGAGAAACATCGACGTGAAGGGACACATCGAGTGGCTGCCACCCGCACGACCAACCAGGGCCGGGGACAAACTGCAACCGAAGTACGTGCCCTTAGCGGGAACCGAACCCGGGTCTCTCCGGACCGCAGGCCGACGCTGTAACCGCTGAGCCAAACTGGCCAGGGCGTATTATTTCTTCTTTATATGTTTCACAGAATTTGCCTGTGAAACTATCTGGACCTGATGATAATTCTTTTTCAGAAAATTTTAAACTACAGATTTAATTTCTCTCATAGTTATATGATTATTCAGGTTGTTCATATCATTTGGGGTGAATTTTGGTGGTTGTAGTATTTGAGACATTGGTCCACTTACTGCAGTTGTGAAATATATATCTGCAGGGTTATTCCCGGGATTCTGTTCCTGATCTCAGGATGCCCGCAGTATCCGTGGTCTCTCCTTTCTGTTTTCTGGTCGTTGGCGCCTCTTTTGGCTTTGCCAACCTTGCTAGTGATTTACCGATTTCATGGATCTTTTCAAAGAACCAGGTTTTGAGTTTATTCCTTTTCTCCACTGTTTTTACTGTTTCTGCTTTCATTTATTATTTTCTTCCTTTTGCTTGCTTTGGACTTTTTTTCCTTTTCCACCCCGCCCTCTAGTTTCTTAACATGGAAGCTCAAGTTATTTAAACCTTTTCTTCTTTTCTAATGTGAATACTTAACGCTATGAAATTTCTTCCAAGCACGGCTTTAGCTGCATCCAACAAATTTTGAAATGTTGTATTTTCATTTTAGTTCAAAATGTTTTCTTGAAATGTACTCTGTGATCCATTGATCATCGGTGTGTCCTTTAACTTCCGAGTGTTTTAGATTTCCCTATTGTATTTTCGATATTGCCTTCTGGTTTAGTTATATTATGCCCTGAAACATACTTTGCACAGTTTCAGTTCTTTAAGTTTGTTAAGTTGTGTTTTGTGACTCAGGGTACGTCCTGTCCTGTGAATGTTTGGCGGTTTGGATACTGGCTTTTCCTCTCTGGGGGCATTAGCTCTGACCTGGGCCCACCTGTTCGCTCGTTCAAGCAAGGCTTGCGGAAGGCTGTCACTCATAGCCCGTTCTTCCCTTTGTCTAGAATATCCAGGATGTGCGGAGTGATGATGAGGAGGAAGAAGAGGAAGAAGAAGAGGAGAAGGAAGAGACCACCAAAGACAAAGAGAAGGACTGTGTGAAGAACGGACTCGCGGCCGACAGGAGCCTCATCCCCAACGGGCAGCACGGCCGTTAGCGCGAAGCCACCTGGGTCCTGGACACAGAGTGTGACAAGGCTGCCGGACACTCTGTGCGACAAGGGCTGCTGCCCGTCCCGCACTGTGGCCCGCGGGCTCACAGGGACCCTAGTTTTGCCCTTCCTCTTTCTAACCACCCCCCTTCAGATGTATTTAACAAAATGTTGTTGAATTGTGTTAAGATGTTAAATATAAGCGTTCCCACGGATTGACTGCAGTTGGGACTCAGACTGGCCAGAGATTTCAAAGCTTTCTCCGGAGAACCGATCGGTCCTGCTCGTGCTCGTGCACGGGAGATGGTGGCGTCTCCGGAGCTTGCTCTGCTCAGGCCTCGACGCCTCCCCACCCTGCCCACCCGCGAGAGTGTGAGCCGTGCGCAGCGAGCCCGCCTTCCCGGGATGCTTGGCCACAGGGGCAGCTCACTTCCCACAAGCAAACCCGAGGGAGCAGTGGGAGGGGGCAGAAGGACACAAGCGGGGGACCCGGCTTCCAGGCCCCTGACCCTCCTAACCTCGGTGCCTCCTCTCTGCCACGGGAATATGCCCGCCCGCCGCGCGGGGCGGGGTGAGGCTCAGACGGTGGCAGGCCTGGCAGAGCGCGCTGTGTGCCCTGGGCTGTGGCCACCTGACCCTTCACTCCGACCCCAGCTCCGTGTGGGAGCAGAGCCTGCCCAAGCCTGGCACTGGCTGAGCCTGGGACGAAAGACCTCCTTAACCACCGCTCCCCTGGAGGTGTCTGGGCACACCTGGGCATGCAGATGTACCCACTTTACTCGGAAACTATTTATTTGTTGGCTCCCCCAGGGTAGTTCTCAAATTCCCTGGGAATCCTCCTCCCTCCGCCCCGAGCCACAGGAGGGCGTCTGGGTTCTGTGCCTTCCGGTTTTTGCTGGCCTCTCCTTCTCGTCTCTAAGGGAGAAGCTTCCCTGCTGCTGCCCGAGCCCCCCGAAGGCCAGCAGAGCTGCCCCGCAGGCCAGAGGGGCCACCTGGGGGCCTCTCGGGGCGTCGGACAGTCAGCTTGCTCACTGAGCCATTGCTGTCCGGGGAGCCCGGGCCTCTGGGTATGACCTGCCGTGGGTTCCCCTCCGAAGGGGGTCCCGGGAGCAGAAGGAGGGCGCTCCACTGTCCGCTCTGCCTCCGCCCAGGCAGGCTGCCCGGCAGTCCCAGAGCAAAGGCAGACTGGAGGGCCCCTGACTGCCAGCTCAGGGGGCTCCTGGGGCCACTGCGTCCTGGGGAGGGTGGAGGCGGGCTGGCGGCCCAGGAGCGGCCTCGGTCCCCACAGGGGCGCGTCTCGGAGCCCAGCGCGCGGGCAGGTGTTTCCCGGGTTTCTGCTGACCGGCAGACCGAGCCTGGCAGAGGAGGAGCCGAGCGGAGTGGCAGCCCCACCCCGGTCTCCTGGTTCTCGGTCACACTGTGCGCTTTGTCCTGGTCCACTCAGGGCCCGTACTTAAAGCCAAGTGACAGCTAGGACAGCGTCCGTCCAGGCTCCCCTGACTCGGGCGTGGCCCCTGGACAGGATGGCCCTGTGCACAGGAAAGGTCTCTGAACTTCTTGTTATTTGACTAAAAAAATGTTTGTTTGTTTGTTTTTTGATATTTTGTTCAGATAGAGTAGGAGGGGGAGAGAGAGAGAGAGAGAGAGAGAGAAACATCAATGTGAAAGGGACACATCAAGTGGTTGCCACTCACACAACCCAACCAGGGCCGGGGACAAACTGCAACCAAGGCACGTGCCCTTAGCGGGAACCAAACCCGGGTCTCTGCAGACCGCAGGCCAACGCTCTAACCGCTGAGGCAAACTGGCCAGGGCTAAAAAGATGTTTTTAAAAACCTTCTGGTTAAACCAACACCAAAACCCTCCCGAAGTCTCCAACAGAACCTCCTTCCGCGGAATCGCTAGAACGATGGCCGAGCCCGGGCCAGCGTGTCTCTGCAGAGTGATCCTTGCTGCTGGGAGAGCCATGCACCACGCGGGTGATGTCACGTCACCGAGGGCCTGGCTGCGGAGTCATCACGAATCTCTTATCACTGTCGTTTTGGTGGAAGAAGAGCCCACGGAGATACTGTCGTATTTTGTTTTCAGTTAGCAGAGTGTTTTTTCCTTTGGTTTATTTGGGTCTTGTCTCTGTACCCAGCGCCTTCTGGCTCAAGGTAAAACCGTGTTATTGGCTGCTCTCTCCTCCGGTTCTGTCCTCATTCGATGCTGCAGGGGGAGGTCAGGTGCCCTTTCCAACCATCCCTGAGACAGCGGAACGCAGACCGCTCCCAGGAGGTAGATGGGCGCACTTGTGACATCCTCTGGGGCTTCTGGTTGACGTTAAAGTGACCTCCACAGGAAACCAGGGCTCAGACTGTGCCAGGTGACTATACAAGCGCACTTCATGGTGCCACCAGAATTATGGTAACGGTCACGACTTACAGCGAAACAGACAGGATCCCGCGTGCGTGGGGCCTGGGCAGGCTCAGCACACGCCTTGGCTGGCATGGAACCGATCCCCCCCCATCCTCAGCAAGCGCCCTGCCGGGAAGCAGAGCGGGCGGAGCCCAGGGAGGGCATCGGCTGCTGGCCTTGGGTGCCAGCACCAGACAAGAGGCAGCGGGTTCGTCTTGACCGGGGTGAGCCTCTTGGCTCTGCACAGGGTGTAGACAGACAGACACTCACGGGCTGGGATCGAAACGAGGTGGCGGCATCAGCACCCTGTGTACCAGGCACTGCTGAGGTGCCAAGGAGGGCGGGCCCTGGAGGTGTTTTCTCTGCTGCCTTTCAACGGTAGAGGAGGAAATAGGGCCCAGGTCGGAGGTCGCCGGGCTGTCCTTCAGAACTACCCACGGAGCTGAGCGCACACCCTGCTGCTTCCTGCTGCCCGATGTGAGCCAGTGCCTCTGGGGTGAGACGGGATCTGCATCCAGCCACGTCTGGGTGCTTCCGAGAGCAGGGAGGACTCTGGGCACCCCCTGCTGCGTCCTACCAGTGAGGACAGGGGGCACCCCCTGCTGCGTCCTACCAGTGAGGACAGTGGGCACCCCTGCTGCGTCCTACCAGTGAGGACAGTGGGCACCCCCTGCTGCGTCCTACCAGTGAGGACAGTGGGCACCCCCTGCTTCATCCTACCAGTGAGGACGGGGCACCCCCTGCTGCGTCCTACCAGTGAGGACAGGGGGCACCCCCTGCTGCATCCTACCAGTGAGGACAGGGGCACCCCCTGCTGCGTACTACCAGTGAGGACAGGGGGCACCCTCTGCTGCGTCCTACCAGTGAGGACAGGGTCACCCCCTGCTGCGTCCTACCAGTGAGGACAGGGGGCACCCTCTGCTGCGTCCTACCAGTGAGGACAGTGGGCACCCCTTGCTGCGTCCTACCAGTGAGGACAGGGGGCACCCCCTGCTGTGTCCTACCAGTGAGGACAGGGGGCACCCCCTGCTGCGTCCTACCAGTGAGGACAGTGGGCACCCCCTGCTTCATCCTACGAGCCGTTTCGCACACTAGTAGGTGGGGACCTGCCATGACACAGAATATTCTATCCAAAAGAGATCTGTCACTATTAGGTAAAGCAGACATTGGACAGACAACAAAAAAGTATCATGGGTTACCTCACATCAATATATTTGAAGGTGTAAATAAAATGTATAAGTTCCTCCAAAAAATAAAACAAAACTTGTCAAAATGAGTTCAAGAGGAAATAGCTGTTTAAATAGTGTTCTCTATAAGACAAAATTAAATCTGAAATTCTGAAATTCACACACACACACACACACACACCCAAAAGGGTCTTCAGGCCCAGCGATGGAGAAGTGTAGTCATCGACACTGTGAAAAAATGCGTTGTCATCAGTTCCTGAAATTGGATATACGCACATGTTATAACCCTGCAGCTTCTGTCCTGGGAACACATGCAAAAGGCATGCACGTGGGTTGTCCCATCAGCAGTGTTCATGGCTGCCCAGCAGGACACTTCCCGAAGACGTATCAGCAGAAGACTGGACGAGTAAATTGTGGTATGTTTCTACTGTGGGCTGCGATAAAGCAACAAATGAGCTCGCTGGTACTTGCGAGTGTAGCTTTTTTTAACAATCATAATGTTTCGCCAAAGGGTCTCATGAAAAACGAAGACGTAATGATTTAAGTACTGTGATGGTAAAAGTCTAGGTAGTGGGTCACCAAGGGGAGAAGGAGGGACTGAGCCTGGGCCGAGCCCCAGGGGTCTTCGGGGTACCAGTGACATTCTGCTTCTTGACCTGGGTGGTGGTTACGTGAGCGTGTTCAGTTTGTGATAAATCATCACACTGTACCCTTACGATCTGCATGCTTTTCTGTATGTATATTATAATTCTTCCAAGTTAAAAGCAAAAGCTAGCGACTTCTAAGTCCTTACCTTCCTGAGATAGCTGGTGTTATTGACCACAACCTTTTCTTCTTCATAAATGCTTTTAATATCAAAAATGTCTTTAAAAGAGCCCATAATCTCACGATCGGATAATCCCTCTTGGCATTTAAAATAATAGTAATAATGGAAATACACATGCAGAGTCAGCACATTCAAATAATGCAAAAATAATGCGAAAAGCTCCCTCTGAACAGTCTTTCTCCCATAAGGAAACACTTTTTTCCTTAAATTTATCTTTATTGTTGAAAGTATTACAGATGTCCCTCCTTGACCCCCTCCTCGCTCCTACCCCACAACCCACCCTCCACCCCACCCCCACCTTCACAGCACTTAATTTTTTTCTTTATTGATTTTTTAGAGAGAGAGAAAGGCAGAAGGAGAGAGAGAAATAAACATCTAAGAGAGAACGTCGATTGGCCGCCTCCTGCATGCCCCTCACTGGGGATCGGGCCCACAACCTGGGCATGTGCCCTGACCGGGAATTGAACCGGCAACCTCTTGGTGGATGGGTCGATGCTCAACCACTGAGCCACACTGGCTGGTCTTCACAGCGCTGTTGTCTGTGTCTGTTGGTTATGCATAGAGGCATATAAGTTCTTTGGATTCTCTCTTCTGGCCCTCCTGCGCCCTTCCCGCTGAGGTGTCGGTCTGTTAGGGGCGCACTCTGAACGCTCATTGTCATTCCCTCCAGGTACATGCTTGTGCCTGTGTCGGCCTGAATCTGTTACTGAGCGCTGCCCCGCAAACATCCCC